AGAAAAGAAGGAAACTGCTCTCACAGTGTTCCACAGTTTTCATGTCCTCAGCTTCTGAAACATTTAAGACTATTAACTTGCTGGCAAGCTCCCAAGGAATTTTAAGGCATCTGTGCCTGTGCTACTTATTTTAAGCTCTGTCTTCCAGTGTTATGAAATCTCAAACTCTTTTGAGAATAAACCCTTGACTTTCTTAGTAATTCCATTTCATGTGGTTCTGGCTTTCAGGCAGATTCAAGAATGACATAATCACTTTTTCCCACCCGCAGGTTTTGCAGTGTTGCTGTTGGTTATACCCTTACATGCAATGTGCAACTCAAATCTTTGTCTGATTCCATATGCCCAGAAATGGAAGACAGCCCAGCAAAGAGGACTAAAGCACAGTTTCTTGGCTTTCTATCAATAACCATAGCTTGAAAAAGGCTTCTTCAGGATTTTAACTCTCAGTTAAAATATTAATTATATATTTAGCTACAGTGCAGTTCCTGTCAGTCCAAAGTCACGCTACTTCCAAAGGATGTGAACCAATTTCCCAATACACTTTACCCCCATTTTTGAAGCAGATATCTTAAAGGTAGTAGCAGAGAATAAACAAACTTAAAGTGCTCCCTTTGTATTTTTTACTATTGAATTTATGCAAATGCACTCAAAAAAATACAGAATTCTTCATCTTCATTTAAAAATATGCTAGAACTTGGCTAGTATGCATTCATAAGAGCTATTGCAATTATATTTTGCATTATTAACAATTCTGGATTATGTACCAAGCTCCGCAGCAGCAGGATAAATACCATAGGGAAAAAGCACTTTCTGGAGTTTGTTATCAACATGAGAGAACTACAAGCAATCTGCAATCCCGTCTCACTGTCCAATTTCACAGAGTCTCCTGGCCTGCCTGAAGACTGCAAGAGTGTTTGTACATGAAATATGGCATGCTAACACAGCATAGGGAGTATTTCTTTGTCCCTTGAGAGTCTCCAGAAATTTTGCTTTTTACAGTTCTGCTTTTTATAGTTGGTCAGATTTTTAAGGACTGCACAGCATTGTGGCTACTCAGGTCTCTTGAACCCAGGACTACTGAGAGGCTCTGGTTCAGGTCAGCTTCAGGGCAATTTCATAGACAATTAATTACATTGCTGCTTTAAGAGCTGGCACTGAACTGCCAGGCAAATGAAAAGCATGTATCATGCTCAAGGAAACACTAGTCCATGTCCAGAAGAAATGGAGAAAAATGCACCAAGTTATCACCATAAAAAATAAATGATCCAGCCTGGAAAGATAATAGATTTCCACTTCTTTTTTGGCAATAAGTCAATTCTGGAAAAAAATTACAACTGGGAAAAGTGAGGTGGTGACTCAGCATCAGGATGTGCAGTCTAAAGATAGGCGTTCTCATGGGACCTTGTCATAATCACCTACATTCACAACTCTGCTGAGCACTCTCCTAAGCTCAGTGCATGAGAGTCATGCTTTTCTCTCACTCCCAGCAGTGAGGGATAATCCATTCGAACAGGTATCTAGCAGGAGGAAACCTGTGACATAGGCTAAAAAATGAGACAAACTGATCTCAATGGCCATCATAGAGTGAAATCCACTGCAAGAGGAATTCCATGTGAAATGTATCCTGTGGATTATTTCTTTCTCTAGACTCTGTTCACAGTGCAAGCCAAAGTAATATATTTGTTTCTGTGATGAAAATTATCTGGCTAATAAGTAACAACACTTTTAAAAAATGGATAAATTGAAAATCCTGTAAAATTCTACCTTGGTGTTAGAAAGTCCAAGGCACTCTATAACACATCCTCTTGAGGCAATAGTTAAGTTCTAGGAAGTTTTAACAAATTGATCTGTACTTTGCTGACAAAATAAAATAAAATAAAATATTATTTAGGTGGCTAAGGTCTTAAAATTTTACTAAGTCTTTTTAACTCTGCTCATAATGAGATGTTTCTTCTAGTAATGCAATTATTGTTAATGGGTTTTCTGATACTAAGAAAGAAAACTGATTTTAGCTGCAGTGGAATTGTAGTTATTTAAAACATTAAACTCACCCATCCACATTAACAGTGACATGAGACATTTTAGTTTGTCATTAATAACATCACACAAGGACTTTCAAAATTCTTTCACACCCTATATATTTTTATGATACATAAAATAAGAGTAGCTATAAAAGTATCTGACTTCTACCATTACCTCATGGCAAAAAGATATTTCTCTAAAAACATGGTAAGAGTTTTTCTAAACAAACAGGTTGAAGGTGTATGTGATGATTGGCTGTATCAATTGATATTCTCTTTCTGGAGCATTTCAAGGGTAAAAATATGCAGTGCTTATCCAACATTCCCTAACAACCATACCTGTGGGAACATTCGGGACAAGTTCTCAGTTACAATCATCACCCCACAACGGTCAATCTTAATGGAAACCCAAGCTTGTATTGCTGGCTAGAGCTGAGCACACAGAATAAATATTTCTTCTGCTGGGTTTAACACTCTTGTTAGGAGGTCTGCCTTTTGATAATATTCTCAGAAAATACTGTCAAGAATTTTGCAAAAACAAAAACATGTACTTATTTAGCAACATATTCCCACAAAGCTAAAGCTATTTAAAAAAAAAAATACCCAGTTAATCCACAGACAGAAAATATCAGATCATCTATCCACACATTAGAACTTGCATTGAAAAATGCATATTTCAATGAGTGACTCATGATGAGTTTAATCCATACTGGACAAGTAAAAATTGTATTTGTCAAAATAATTATTATTATTAAAGCCACGCTCTCCTCACTCTGTTTTTAAAATGCCCTC